CGACGGCGGCCGCTTGGCTGTGCCGTCTCCTCCCCGCCCCCCCCCCCCCCTCGTCCCCCGGCGTCGTCCGGCCTTGGCTCGTGGCCAGCGTGGCGCGTGGCGCGTGTTGCACCGCCCCCTCCCCCTGCCCGCGGAGGGGGCTATCAGCTCGTGACGTCACAGGCCGCAGAGACAGACGCCCGACCGCAGTGGACTCGTGTAGTACGCGAGCGATGTGCCAGAGCCACTCAAACCAGACGGCCAGCGAGAGATTCACTACCACCTCAACCTCGGAACACGGAAAACGCACGTCATTATGGGCTCCGTTTACAACACCTGTTGCGTTTCATAATAACTCTGGGTCGCTACCGCATGTAATAAAGAAGCGACGCGTCTAAATTGCTTCCTATCCATGCTATACAGTGAGGCGTCTGATCTGCAACAGAATGCCCGCGGGCAAGCACGCAGTTGCATGGAGCCTGGATAGCGGGAAGCAGCCGAGTCACGTTGCAAAGTCACTGACTTCAGGGTCACTGAACCCGCTCCAGGTCGGCGTGCGGCTGCCGAGAAGTGCTTTTCATCTTATCTCATTGCATTTTGCAAACACACAAGCCTATGTTGGAAGGAATAACAAGCAAGTAGCTCGCATGCATAGGAAAAACTTCACTCAAACTCATTGAATAACCATGTCTGCCCATGAACCAATGATGGAAGTTTAAAAACCAACTGCGTCGCAGCTGCAGTTGCCACCCATCGCCATGGGCTCCTTGGCAGCGAGCCAAGCGGCAGCGCGACCCGCGGCCATTTGAGAGCCCCTGACTCGTAGTACTATGGCGTCGTACGCTGAGGCCGTCGGCCGTGCTCGCCGCGCCTGCAAACGGACACTGGCCTCTCGGGCCTGGAGGCGGACCCGCAGTCCGCAGTCGCACCCTTGCCGGTCACACGAACCACCGCGGTCACTGTTCGGCAGTCTCAGTCTCAGTCGGCGCCGGCCTCCGCCAATCACGGCATCGTCCGCCGTGCTCGTGACGTGCTCCGTGGCGTGCCGGGCGTGCTGGCCGTGCGATAGGCCCACTGTGTGACGTAGCCTCAGGGCCAGTGTGCATGTCGCGACCCGCCTCAGTCGGGAGGGCTGCGGTCAGAGCTGGAGGGAAGTCGCGCACTGCGCAGGGGCGTTGGCTGTGCTGGTGAGTGGTGACAGGGGTGACAACTGGTGTGAATGTTGGTGGTGGCTTGGTGATCCGTGAGTTTCGTAAACTGTGGGAACTGTAATATGGTAAGCTGGCTAGTGCGCGTGGAATTTTATTCGGAGGTTCTGGGGTTGTCGATTCTCTGTGGTTCGTCAAGAGGAAGAAAGCAAAAAGCTTTGTCACAGTTATGACAGTGTGCAGCTATGACTGTCATTACATATGCCTGTTGATTTGGGTAAAATTGGGTTTATTATAGTCATTAACTGACAACCGAATAATTACCACCTTAACTTAACCATCGCCCCAGTGGGGGGGGCATATGTTACCACCCTGTCGCGTTTTTTGCGTGTGAATAAAAACCGCGGCGCGTAGCGCCGCGCCGCTTGGGGTAGCTTTTTGGTACATCAATTTTGGACAATGTGTGAAATTTTTGACCCCAGGTCATGTCAGGTCAGGTCACCAGGTCAAGTTAACTGACCAAGCCTAAAAAAGTTTGCAATCCTGTCCAGCCTGCAGTGTTTGTCAGAAAGGTTTTAAACTTGGTGGATTGCATGCTGTTATGGGCGCCTACAACTTGTATATCTCGGATTTGTTATATCCGTGACCTAAGGTCAGGTCAGTGGCGTGACCTTTCCATTACAAGTCAATGGAGAAAAATGAAAATGCCTCTAGATCCGTGTGTACGCATAGGAACAGTCCAAATATTTCAGAATCACAATGATTTAGACCACTCGTGATGACCAAGGTGTCATTTTTGCTGATAGCCTCTAGAAAGGTCATCCGAGGTCATTAGAGGCTACAAACAGTTTTTTGCCAATAACTCGCGATTGGAAAGAGATAGAACGCTGGGGATGGTCTCATTGTGCTTGTCTTGTTGAGACGCATTGACTGATGCAACATGACCTTTTCCGGTCAGGTCATGACCTTGACCTGAGGTCAAATTTTCAAGTTGACCTTTCAAGGTCAAATTATAGTTCATTCGACGCGTCTTGGCGAGGGGAACACGATTCTGGCAATCGAAATGTCGTGGCTTTTTGGAGTCGAAAGTTATTGTCGAAAAACACTTTTCATAAAAACAGCTATTTTTGCCCTCTGGAGGCTAAACCGTTGACCTGAGGTCAATTTTGATGATGACCTTATTAAAAGAAGAGTTCAAAAGCTATCGATTGCTTTTCAATGCATTTTTCTAGCTACCATAGTTCCTGAGATAGCGGCATGATTTCTGAAAAATATGACAATTGGCAAATTCTGACCTTTGATGACCTCTGGTGACCCCAATATTGCTCTAAGGTGAAAAATGACTGAAATACTTTCAAACGTACGCATTGAGAGCTATCGACTGCTTTTTACCGCGTCATTCTAGCCCTCTTAGTTTTTGAGTTAGAGGTGGGTGGTAACATATGCCCCCCCCCCCCCCACTAGGGCGAAGTTGGCTGAGACCGCCACTGGGGCGCGGGTTAATTAATTGTCAACTGTTTGTGCTGTGACATTTCAGATGACTATTTACCTGTCACCAATCTGTTGCAATCTGAACGCGATCTTACCCTGTCACTTAAAAGCACATAAAGAATCGCTATAGGGACCTATTTCACCCCAGACATTTATTGCATTTCACATCAAACTATCCCTAATCCCCAAAGAGGAGAATGTGAATACAACAATAGATTTAAAAGTCAATCCTTGGTTTTTGTATTATTTTGCGCCACTTTGTATTTATTTTGTCTGCATATTGTGTTTTCTTGTAAAGATAAGATTCACATCAATCAAAAGGTGTTTGTCAGCTACGTTTTACACTCAATTATCCTCATTTGAAACATCAGCAGCCAAAGTTGAAACGAGTTTGGCTGCATTAGAAACATAAGGAAACAGAAATACAAAGCGCATTTGTAAATCCTAGTGTCATAGCCATCCACAGATGTCAATCACGTTTCAGTAGCCTCGTTTGTAAGTTTTTCAATTGAGAGTGTCTCTTTCGATTTCAGCACCTATTGGATTCCACATATCTTCGGTAACAAGTAGTAACACCTGAGGTGAAATTGTGTAGGATCGTAAACCTCTGTGTAGGTCTTTCATTCATATTCCCCAATTGGTGAATGCAATCAGATTCTAAGGACACCATGCAGCTCTTGTGTGATGCATGCTGCACAGTTACAGTTCTGCAGAATGCATTTAACCAGTGTAAACCGGATCTCCCTCAGTTAGATGTCAAGACATTCAGCTGGCCCAGTCCCACCGGGTCGTATTTGCATTACATTGACACCCTCCCTCGAGACATGTTCCATGCATGTGACCCTGATTCACGTATAGGTAGGTACTGCTATGCATTGCGAAAGCATTCTACACGGCTTATTTGTTCACCACACATACTTCTTCATACCAAGTTCAATGAATGCGTAAGATTGCAGCCTACCGACCGTAATTTTATTACTTTTTTGCAGCACGTCAGAGGGTGCGATAAAGTGCTACTCTGTCAGGTCATGTTATTGACATTTGGTTGATATTCCTTATCTCAAACTATTTTGTTTAACATTCTGCATACTAAATGGCAACTTAAAATGCACTTTAACAATAAACTATGCTTGGATGCCATTTTTCACCATAGTGATTTTATCGTCAAGATGGACTATAATTTGACCAAAGGGCAAGTTGAAATTTTGCTCTTACGTACCTATAGGTCACGATGTGACGACCGGGAAAGGGTCCACTTGTTTGTCAGTCGACCCGCGTTGCTAGATTGACAACTTGTGAGGTGTTCGGATTGCTCTATACCAAGGCTCCATAAAAATATTACCGAATATTTTTCGTGATCTTTACATGACGTAATGTGACTTTCATATATCATGTTGCGGTAAAATGCAATTAATCGTTGAAAGGTTCCATGGAATCATTTAGTCGGTGTAGCTAGGGGTGAGCATGTAGGGCTTTTTTCGTAAGGTGAGGTAACTTGATCTGACTGACTTGTATTTCGATGACCTGTACTCGTAGATTACACTTTCACAACATAAGCAGGAGAGGTGGCGAACTGTACTGTTATGTGCATAGACATTAGACTTTACAGGTCCCAGAGCATGTTCTTCTTGAACCTCCCATCGCTCTGTTCGATCCTCAAGACGTCCACAAATCCGTGCCACAGGCCCCTTGTTCCCGGTTCGACGGTCACCTTCATCCGACGTGAGTGCCTCCTCAGGGTCATGCCCGTCGCTCACGTGCAGTGTGGTGGCCGCCAGAGGGGCTGGGTCACCGCCAAGACAAATTTATTTACATAATTCCTCAAATTATTAGTCTAGGAAATCGTCTGATATGACCGAAAGGACCAAACCAATAAAACAAACATGAGTTTGTTACATAGGAATGCGTGTTTTACTGCTAGCTGCTGTTGTCGTCATTATTGTCTTAGCTTAGTTTTTATGATGCCCTTTTTAGTTTATGTGCATATGGAAACTGTGAATGTCTTTTTATATCATTGCATTTCACAATTTGACTGATGGCAAGGAATAGCCACTATGAGTGGATTTGCCTGAATAAATTGGTATTGGTATTGGTATTGGGTTTGCAACACTTCTTCGACATCCATATACAGATAAAAGTAACAAAATGTTGTGCAAGTATTACTTTCATTGCATCACTCTGATGTTTTGCTTATCGAGAACAAACACGTGCGTCAGCAACCAGCATGCCAGAACTATCGCGGTATTCCGCCAGCCGGAAGCCGGAATGATTCAAGCGCTATGCTACTATATCATATCGGTAGCGATAACCAATGTGATGTCATCAGACGGCTCCTTCCGCTCCCGATCAATGACCGTTACTTTTTGTCCTGTTCACAGGCGATGCAGAGTCAGAGTTGCTGAAGAGCATGCCACGGAGAGTGTCGTCTCGAGAGAGTACCGCGCCGCGCGCCGAGAACGGCCAGTCCACGACCGAAACCGACCGAGAACTGCGTCTTGGAAGTCAGTCTAGAAGCCACGACGCAGGTCATCACGCAGGTCACCGCGCAGGTCACGGTCCAAGTCACGGCGCAGGCCCCGCGATGCCCCCTCAAGAGCCACTGGATCGGCCAGAACTTCGGCGTCGGCGACGATCGGACGATTCTCCATCATGGAGCACAGAATGTCAGCTGGATTCTGGCACGGGATCTCTTCCGGGTCTGCAGTCGGTCCTGACTCCGGGCTCGGAGCCGGAGCCGATATCCTCCCCGGAGCCGGAGTCGGAGCCGGAGCCGGAGCGACGACACAGCTCTCCGGAGCGAGCTGTCAGATCTGCCTCCCCAGAGTCGGCCTCTCGACTGGCACGGCGGGCCAAACGGCAGCGGCGACTGCATGACGAGTCGACACCGACGGCGGCCGACGGGCCGCACCACCGACCCGTCAGGTCAGCGCGACGGTGTCTTTTCGGTCGGCCCGACCACGCCGAGCTGGATCGAGCCCTCAGAGAGGAGCAGGAAGAGCTTCGGCGAGCCGAGACCCTGCGATGGAACTTTGATTTCCACCGCGAGCAGCCTCTGGAGGGCCGGTGGCGTTGGGAGAGGGTAGGTCGGCGAGGCCGCGCGCCTGACCGGACCCCCTGAGAGCGAGAGGGGGAGAATCGTCTCACCTGGCATCTCACCGAGGCTGTGGGGATGTGAGTGTGAGATGTGAGACTGTGAGAATGTGTGATGTATTACTGGATGATGTTTCAGGCTGGAGGTATAAAAGTGATGTGGGTGGTGGAGAGCCAGAACGAGTCGAAGCGGTGACTGTAGGTAGGATAAACAGGGTGTCGGATCGCGGGCGCGTGTGCAGAAGTGCGCATGAAATTGGTATTCAATGTCTAATGAATGTAATAGAATAGATAACTGTTGACAAAAAGTGCAAATTTTTGACGAGTCCATCTATGTTCTATTGAGATAATGTTGAGTTTTGGTGAAGGTTATGGTTTGTGAAGGAAAGAAATGCACTACCGAGAAGTTTTATGTTGACAGATAAGAGTTATAATAGGTGATGTTATGATTTTGCTGCCATTTTTGACGCTGTTACCGATGTGCCATTATCTTATCAGATGCACATATATTGTTATATAAATAAATAATTACACTAATGAACCGGAAAAACTGTAACAAGTGCAACGTTATGCATAAACAACAAAGGAGCCGGGAGAAACCAGCAAAGGTCATTCGAGCAAACTTTCTGTATGAGTTTCATTGCTGGCTCTGTGTGTTTGCCGCTGAAATTATACGTCATTAGATTAAAAGTTATGAAATTTTATGATGTTCTAAAATGACCCTATGCCCATGACACGATGAAATGATAGTGAAATAAGTCCAAAAATTATTGGACTTAATTTGGACTTATTTCACTAACATTTCATTGTATCATGACTCATGAGCATAATGTCATTTTCTAGCATCATTATATTAACCTTCGCCCCAGTGGGGGGGGGGGGGCATATGTTACCACCCTGTCGCGTTTTTTGCGTGTGAATAAAAAACCGCGGCGCGTAGCGCCGCGCCGCTTGGGGTAGCTTTTGGTACATCAAATTTGGACAAGGTGTGAAATTTTTGATCCCAGGTCATGTCAGGTCAGGTCACCAGGTCAAGTTAACTGACCAAGCCAAAAAAAGTTTGCAATCATGTCCAGCCTGCAGTGTTTAACAGAAAGGTTTTAAACTTGGTGGATTGCATGCTGTTATGGGCGCCTACAATTTGTATATCTCGGATTTTTATATCCATGACCTAAGGTCAGGTCAGTGGCGTGACCTTTCCATTACAAGTCAATGGAGAAAAATGAAAATGCCTCTATATCCGTGTGTACGCATCGGAACAGTCCAAATATTTCAGAATCACAATGATTTAGTCCACTCGTGATGACCAAGGTGTCATTTTTGCTGATAGCCTCTAGACAGGTCATCCGAGGTCACTTGAGGCTACAAACAGTTTTTTGCCAATAACTCGCGATTGGAAAGAGATAAAACGCTGGGGATGGTCTCATTGTGTTTGTATTGTTGAGACGTATCGACTGATATGCAACATGACCTTTTCCGGTAAGGTCATGACCTTGACCTGAGGTCAAATTTTCAAGTTGACCTTTCAAGGTCAAATTATAGTTCATTCGACGCGTCTCGGCGAGGGGAACACGATTCTGGCAATAGAAATGTGGCTTTTTGTACTCGAAAGTTATTGTCGAAAAACACTTTTCGTAAAAACAACTATTTTTGGAGTTTTTGCCCTCTGCAGGCTAAACCGTTGACCTGAGGTCAATATTGATAGTGACCTTTTCAAAAGAAGAGTTCAAAAGCTATCGTTTGCTGTTCCATGCGTTTTCTAGCTACCATAGTTCCTGAGATAGCGGCATGTTTTCTGAAAAATATGACAATTGGCAAATTTTGACCTTTGATGACCTCTGGTGACCCCAATATTGCTCTAAGGTGAAAAATGACCGAAATACTTTCAAACGTACGCATTGAGAGCTATCGACTGCTTTTTACCGCGTCTTTCTAGCCCTCTTAGTTTTTGAGTTAGAGGTGGGTGGTAACATATGCCCCCCCCCCCCCCCACTAGGGCGAAGTTGGCTGAGACCGCCACTGGGGCGCGGGTTAATAATAATGCCCAAACTAGCCATAGCTCACCTTCAACGTTATGGCATTTACTTATCTAAGGTTGATCGAATTGTCGTGGCCAGCTGTACCTATAAATGACTGAATAATTCGGGCACTGCACTGTCTTGAATTTTCGGCTATGCGCCCCCACCAAGTCGTCCAGTCTTCCTTTAACTATCCTTTAACAATGCCCCGCTAGCCAAACGCTTAGATTGAGGTCTATCGCGCTAAACAATTATCAAGTAATCACCAATTTTCTCATACATCAGTTAATGGTGCAGACCAATGTCCGATTTGGAGCTCTCAGTCTCGGTCCCAAAATGACCGAGTACCTACGTGCGCCGAGAATGGTAGGATAAATGCGTTGACATTGTGATGTTTGTCCGCGCGATGGGGCGTTGCATCAGAAATCGCTTTCATCTGCAGCACTGGTAGCTTTACCGTGTACCATATGACCGGCGGCAGGGTTTTGCATCAGAAAGAAATCCCAACGTCACCTCAATGCTGTGCCCCGCAGCAGGCCAGCCCAGCCAACCTGCTGCGGCCAATATTTGTAGTGGAATGATTCCGTCTAAAGAGGCTCGGCCTGATGAACATAGGAGCACCTAAAAAAAGCCGTGCCCGACAGGCTTGCGCAGTGCGCTAGGGGACGGTGGGCTGGGCTGGATCTGAGATGCAACTCCACTCGGCCCACAGTTCACAGCGATGGTATAACAGCGCCACCTACGTCAACCTCAGCTCGATGGGTGCGCGCCACCTAGCGGTGAAAAGGTACTTGGCACGGCGTAATTCTTTTTTCCACCCAAAGGAAGGCGCTATACGGAGAATATCCCATTGCGTCATTGAAAAGTGACTTACACCTCTCACCGGCCAGCTAACTGCGTGGTGTAGCGGTGAGCGCACTCGCCTCGTGATCTAATAATTAGGGTTCGATCCCCGCCGCCGGCCGAACTTTTTGGCGCGTTGTAGGTTAGGTTGTAGGTTTGTAGGTTGTAGGTTTGTAGGTTGTAGGTCTGTAGGTTAGGTTGTAGGTTAGGTTGTAGGTTGTAGGTTTGTAGGTTGTAGGTTAGGTCAGGTGAGGTTAGGTTATGTTTGTTTTTGTTTGGTTTGTTTACCAAGAAGCATCTTCGGGTATAGCGCCTTCCTTTGGTTGGAAAAAAGAAACACGCCTTGGCACGGTCAACGTCCTGGACTCCACGATTTGATGCGGATGACAATAATCGGCACTGCTATTGATTGTGGTTTGGCAGGATCTAAGTAGGGGTGACGAAATCATGACACACACTAACCCTAAAAAATGAAAGTTTATTATTTTTAACTCACATGAATACCAAATACTCAAAAACGTATTTTTTATTCATTGAAAAGCCGCAGACACCTATATGATCAGGTTCGAACTTTATGTCAGACCCTCACTCTTCTGCAGAAAACACGCTGAACACATTTGCATGTGATTTCAATGCCAGCTAATGCCAAAGCTTTTGGTGGATACTAGTCCAATTCATTTCATTCGCACAGCTGGAAGTGGAACGAACCGAAGTGTAAAAATAAAAACAATCGTGTATACCTTAAAACCCTCGCCCATGTAGGGGGGGGGGGGTTGGTGCAACCCCCCCCCCCCTGAGGTTTTTCTTAGCTACACGCCGAACCGTTTCAGATAGCCTGCTCAAATTTTCAGTACCCTTTGGGGCATCCTTTGCGCAACTTTTGGTAATTTTTTTTGTCAAGGTCATGTCAGGTCACGGAGTTATGACGTCATAAAGAGAACAACCTCCGGCCAGATTTACGCTAAATTAGAGATTGCTTCACATTGGTATAAATGCCGACTGACCTGACACACTGATGGATTGTTTTAGAATCACAACTGGCTGATTTGACATTGGCACAATGTCCGTTGACATTTTGAAGGTTACTAAAGGTCAAGGTAAGGTCAGTGACCTCGTTTGAACTGTAATGACTTCTTGCACTTGTATGCCTTTTCGGGGTATTTTGATGCTCTGAATTCGAATTTGCTATCCATTTCAGGCATCGTCGGTTGTTTCTTGTAGTTCATTTTGGGTCAGGGTCAGGTCAGTGACGTCACACGCCTGACGTGACCCAATGCACAAATGACCTTGCAGACTTCCGATGCTCCCAACGCATCATTTTTAGAGTTATGACATCGACATATACACCAAACGATAGAGAATTGATCAAGGATCACGATAGTGAAGGTTTCAAGTCGATATCTTGTACCGTTTTGCCGCAATCGGCGCGGAAATCTGAAAAAAGTTAGATTTTTCCGAAAATTTGACCTTTGACCGGTCATAAGTAGGTCAAATGTTGACCTAGTACCAAAAAATATACCACCAATCGCGAGATCTCGTTGAGAGCAATCCGTTGGTCTTTTCCACTAAGCTCTACGACGCTCCATTTTCAAACGCCAGGGGGGTCGCACCAACCCCCCCCCCCCCTGCATGGGCGAAGGTGGCAAAACACCGTTTACGGGCGAGGGTTAAGAGAATAATGATGAAAAATCACCGTTCATTTACGGGAAGTTAAAAATGGATGAGTTCAATTCAACGTCTGCTGGAAGGAGGTTAGCAGCAATGAAAATGGTGGCAGTTCCGGCACTGTGTTATCCATTAACCCGCGCCGTGCTGGTGGCCTGAACTTTCCGCCGAGTGCTGGGGGGGGGGGGGGGGGGGGGGGGCGTTTTCACGCCCCCCCCGTCTAACTCGGCTCCTGGGCCACGTAGCGACACGCGGTAAGCGGCAATCGAAAGAGCGTCAAAAATAAGGACGAAAACACTTCGGTCATTTTTTGGGTCAGGTCAAAGGTCAGGTCACCAGAGGTCACCAAAGGTAAAATGTTGACTATTTCAACATTTTGGAAACTGCCAACGGCTATCTCGGGAACCGATAGAGCTACAGCGCCGCGGAAAAGCGCATTCGATAGCCCTTTTACAGACCTTTCTGAGTAATGTTCTCAGATTTGACCTCAGGTCAACGGTTTAGCCTCCAGAGGGCAAAAACTCCAAAAATAGCCGTTTTTACGAAAAACGTTTTTTCGTCAATAACTTTTGACTCATAAGCGCCATGACATTACTTTTGCCAGCATCGTGTTCCTCTCGTCGAGACGCGTCGAATGAACTATTTGTTGACCTTGAAAGCTCATTTTGAAAATTTGACCTCAGGTCAAGGTCATGACCTGACCGAAAAGGGTCATGTTGCATATCAGTCGATCCGTATCGTCGAGCTGAACACATCTGACGTGTTTTCACCGCTCTAGCACGTCTCTATCAAAAGTTATAGCCAAAAAACTGCTGGCGACCGTTCATGACCTGAGATGACCTCAGGGGCACACAGAGGGGTCACAGGTGCATTTTTCCTATTCATTGTGTCATGTTTACCTATGAACCGATGTTTGAGAGCGTTTTGAACGATATTCGTCCAAAAGAGGCGCATTTCAATTTTCTCCCATTGACTTATAATGGAGAGGTCGCAAAATTGACCTGACCTTAGGTCA